AATGAGATTTTCAAAATTGATGGCTGGGAAAACTGTCACATTGCAGACCTCCCTATAAATGATTGAATTTTGTTTTTGTGATATAATCTCAGATTATTTTTATTATTGTTTGAAAACCTGAGTGATGTCTCAACAATTAGCTTGAGTCATAAATTCCATGATAAGATTTAATAATTTATTGTGAGGTCTGATGTGTGACAGTATTTTTCCAGTCATTAATTTTGAAAATCTGATGATAACAAGTTATTCAGCAGTCAGCACAACAAACTTTTGTGGGCCTCAGAAAAAGTTTGTTGCACTGAGTTGTTTGTTTTGATGAGATTTTCAAAATTGTTAGCTGGGAAAACTGTCACATATCAGACCTCCCTATAAATGATTGAATCTTGCTTTTGCGATGTACTCAGATTTTTTATTATTGTTTGGAAACCTAAGTGAGGTTTTTTTTTTAAATAGCTTGAGTCATATGTTCCATGATTTGCACCAATATTTCTTCATTCTAGGTGGATGATGTGTGGAAAAAACTAAAGTACTGTATGTTTGTCCTCCATTACTGCTTCCAACCATGCTTCAAGAACCATTAGTCAGGAAATTTCTACCTGTAGAATCTATTAAACATTTTGTTGCAGACACATAAGAAGAGGAAACTGATGAAGTTTTCCACCAGCATTAGCTGTGCCAATTGATGCACACAGTACAGCAGTAATTATTCCTTCAATTTTTTTTTTGGCCAATGAGAGGACATCCAAGAAATTTGATGGAATGTTTTGTTCTACATGTGGCAAGAGAGTTCCAGGAAATTATTGAGAGAGGAATTTTTCTTTGAAGTTACAAGCTGTCTTCTTTGAACTCTTGGATGAGAAATATCACTCTTATCTTTCTTCATTTGATTTGTGCACAAAAAATCTGACGTTTTATTTTGTTTGATTTGATCTTGTGTGTTGAATATTTATTGTGTTGGATTTTTAAAATCTTGGAATTGAGGAAAACTGAAGAAAATGTCATACAAAACTATATAGGAACACATACATATTCAAGGTGTCCCTTTGAATATGTGTTCCTAGCTTGTATTTTACTCCTTGAAATTTGTTCCTTTTATGGTGGGAAATTGAACCCAGTACCACACTTTCTTCAAAAAACTGTGTTATACTGGAATTGTGAAGTTTTTTAAAACAAGATTGCTTCAACATTTATTCTATGGGACTTCTGTTATTGGGACTTGAGATTAAATTTGTTGTACTGGTAAATTTGTTGTAACAATAAGATTTTACTGCATGGCAGTAAAAATAAAATGAAACTGTGTCAGTATCCTTTTGGATCACTGGCATAGTCTTTTTGTGTGTAGAGTATACATGGTTATTTTGTTGATGACTTTGTTGTATAGTTACAGTACTTTTGGACTGTAGTTTTCCCCTCTTTCTCCTCTGTAGCCAGCGCAGATCATTGAGTGGTCAACCTTGCGTCCGTAGGCCTCTTCGCAGGCAGAAAAGGAAATCAGACTGAGTTTGGCATCACTGAGTTCCACAGCCATGACTTCTGCGTATTTAATATCCCGGGTTCTTTCCGAGTCCTTCACAGCCTTGCCCCAGCCAACAACAAAGCATTCGCCTCCGCCTTATTTATACATAGATATAGAAAAGAAACGCAATATCACAGGTGGACTCTCTCTTCATCTCCACAATGACCTATATCTTGTATCAGTTGTATGTAACAATTTTCACTCTATACAGTATAAAGAATGTTTGTGATCCAATGCATTGGGTTCTCACTATGTTATAGGCATTCTAAAAAAAATTCTCTCTGCTGCCAATGTTTTATGGTCCTTTGAATTTTGTTGTATGGAGTTTCAAACCATTATAGAACAACATTTACTGGAGTACCAGCACAGGCACCTTTTTTTCTTTCAAATTCAAGAGGAAACAAGGGGGATTGATCACATGTGGGTAATACATATTTTTCAAAAATTGTTAGTAGCATTTAGGTGTGCTATGCCTGATTATAATGAACAAATTTTGACCAATTATTGTGACAGAAAAACTAATTTCATTTCAAATGATAAAAAATTCTATGAATTAAGGTTTACTTCATGTCTAAATTCTAATTTGGGCATGAGTATTTTTGGAATATTGCAGTTTTTTAGCATCACTGAAGTGAGGTTCGCTATTATTGGGGATACAATTTATCCAAAATTTTGGACTGAATAGCACTGGGGCAAGTTTTACTTGAGTTTGCATATGGTACTCAATTAAATACATTAAATTTGTCAAATAACAAAGACACAGATGTTGGAATTTAAGCTGTTCAAAAGAAAAGATAGGACAGCACTCTTTTTTGTTCATTGTATACAGGTATCCACAAAAAGTATTCCAAACTTGTCAAAAAATTATTCCAAATTTTTCAAAAAATTATTCCAAATTTTTCAAAAAATTATTCCAAATTTTTTAAAAAAATTATTCCAAATGAGAATGGAAAAGTGCTGGGGAAAACATTGAAAGAAGTTCTTTTTGGGACTGAATCTTTCCATATTAAATTTTGCTGCAATTTATAAAACTACATTTGAGCAATAATGGTTCATAAGAATTTAGAAATTCTTTCCTATAACCCAAATAATTCACTTTCATAAAAATAATTGTCAATGTGCTGCAGGATAAAAACAGACACCATATATGCTTCAGGGTTTAAAGTCTAAGGCTTGAAAAGCATTGATGGAATCATCATATTTTAACAATGCTATTCCACAACCATACACATATGGAAAGAATTACTCACTTAATAGTTGAGTATTTGGCAAAGGAAGTGCGATCATTTGTATCAGCCTGCCCTTTTCCTTGATGTGATTCCGCAGTTCGTACAATGCAAAATCATAAGAGTGCACCATATTCCCCAGACTATTCGGAAATGTGGGATTCAGAGCTGTGTCAATTAAGGACACAAAAATAAAATATAAAAAAGTTTCATTCTTACTTTGGATGGAGATGTATTTCCTGGACAGGAATGGTTTGTTCTGCAGGCAACTCTTCTTTCACCAAATTATGAACTCCAACTGAAACCTTTTTTTTTGTGTGGACCAAATTGATTATTCTTAAATAATTCATCCTGCAAGGGTTGTCCCACTTGGACGCGACCTGGATATTTTTAGAGTATGTGTAATTCTATAAAAATATATAAAATCTTTTGAAATCCTGGGATTTTTTCACATTTTTAAAAACAGCTTTTTTAGTTCTACTAGATGATGAGTGAAAACTTTTGCAGCCAGATTTCTCCACACATGTCACAGGGTGCTAAAAAGATTTCAGGCTAGCTACAAATTTTGAGTTCTTGTTGCATTAACCATTATCTGGAATGCAGAATAGATAATGAATAAAACTTTTTGCCATGCTGACCAAATTTTAGCACCCTGCAACACAGGTTTAACTGATGGAAAGTTTTCACAAATTGAAAAACTTTTTTAAATCAGAAAAAATTTCAAACATTGTGGACTGTGTCATGATTTAAGAAAATTCTATTTGGTGTGGTGGTTGAAAAGAAAAAAGTCAGAACATAAGCCTATGCTATTCTAAAAGCTCTGAGTGTTTTTGGATTACATTTTTTTTTCAATTTACTGCATGTAGGTGAGTGAAACCTTTCCATATTGCAGTCAGATTTCTGTGCCCATGTCACAGGGTGTTACAAACATTTGTCAGGCCGGCTAAAAAAATGAACTTTTTGCTGTTTCACCCATTACCTTTTCTACATTTTAGATAATGGTTGAAGTAAACAATAATCCATTTTTT